GAATCGCTAATTAATTAAGCTGCTAATTAAGTATTACTGTTAAAAGTGGCATTTGAGGTAGGTCACAAGAGCTTCGGATGCTTATCTATCTGGTTGGATCGTTTGGTTAAGAGAGGTAGGAGGGATATGGGGGAGGTTGCATGGGAGAATTTACCAACATATTACCATCAATTCCTACGTTTTTACATATCAAACCCTTAAACTTTAATTTTTTACATTTGTATGTCATTTTACGAATGTATAATAAGATGTATTTTATTTTATTTTTTAAAGTTATAATGGTTGTTTTTTTTTTTATATCGTATGAAAGATTGGGAAGGTATCAATGCAAAAAGTAAAATATAGGTCTTTGTTAGATATGTAAATAAATAGGAATTAGGTGGCATCTATGTAAATGTCCCTCGCTTTACTTGTGTCAAAATATTATCTAATCCATTATTTGATTCAAATTCAAGTATACTAAAACCTGATTTGCCCATGAATCACACTTATGAAATAGAGTGTAAGTAAGGGGGGAGAGAGACAAACAAACGAATGAGTGAACAATAATCCTTCATATTTTATTCATAAAATGATCTCCCTATTTATAAGGGAGGGAGTGTAACATAATCATGTTATATTTTTTCTTCCCTGTTTTAATGAGGTCTTTAGGTATTTCTGATATTTTACATGGGTAAGTCTGTCATCTGGATGCTTTCTTGCTCCGCCACCTGGGCTTAATTGGCTTCAAGTTGGCAAGTTTAGCTTGATTGGTTGAGATCCGCTCGGTCAGATGTGTTTGGTAGATTTAGCTTCATGTTTCTAGGATGATTCTAGGGTGTCGGGCAGAGGAGAATTACTGTAATCCAGTATGCAGCTTACCCTTGACTGGAGGTTCATCAGAAGTGTTTATGGAGTATGTCATAATGAGAACTTTCAGATTCGTGAGGAGTTTTCTGGGGCTCTCATGAGGAGACAGGTGATGCTGGGATGAGAGTTAGGATGATGCTCTATCTTAATAAGATGGATCTTGATCTTCGTCTCGGTCAGCTTTTGTTTGGCCGACTTTGAATCCTGACAGAAAGAACTATAGTTGGCCAACCAGTTACTATTGTTTCCAGTGGCGTGGTTATGGGTCTTCCCTATGTAAATTGTTCTTAAATGCACTTTTGTCTTTTAGCTCATAAACATTAAAAGTCATAAATGATTCAATGATGATGATTAAAGATAGAATTGTTGATGTTTCTTACATAATCTTTTTGATATTTAGAAAGAATTTGAAAGTTCACTAATACTCTTACACTATCAAATGCATTCTCTTATAATCATATGTTGGAATATGAACCAAGTTTAAATTAATTATTTAGAGCCAATAAAAAATTAAGAAAATCTACACAAGAAAATATAAAAGAATTTATGTAAAAATATTAAGTCAATTGATGACTGCGTCATGTTGCGACCACTGTGATCAAATTCCATTATAATTTGATTATTGAGAATTACAACATTGATTTTTCTAATACAAGCATATGGTAACAATGTCTCATTTCTATTAAAAAACAGTAATTGGAGAAAAGATAATAAAATTGGGTCATTTATATATGTACCACCCAGTAATTTCAATGTATTTACATGTAAACTTTATTTTTTACATTTATAAATACCACTCAAATCTTTTATATCAGATCTTGGGATAATTACATACGGACCACTGAGTACACTGATATTTATAAATTAAACACTCAGTTGATTTTTTTAAACTATCAAACCGATGTATTTATGCATGCCACGAACATACTATCGAGAGTCTGATAAAAAGGAATAATATTGTTGAGCTTTTAACTACTCAATATTGATTATTAGATCTAAATTTTATGTTGAAAAGTTGTAAGACAAATAATATAATAAAACATTGTCATAGAATTAGATAGGGGCTCCTAAAAGATACAAGTAGAATTATTTTTATAACTTATATATTTCAACATTTGGAATGTTCATGAAGAAGCTAATTCAACGTGGGATAAAGTAACCAGCACTATTAAGCAAGTGACAAATAGATGCACTTGGAGAATAATAATAATAAATAAAAATAGTTGATGGCAGAATAGTAATATGCAAGAAAAGATAAAATATAAGAAATTTTGCTATAAGAATTTTTTTAATGTAAGAACTTAGAGAATTGAAAAAAATATAAAGTGACCCGTAGGGAGTGTAGGACTACATTTTTTTACTCAAAGAATTTTACTTATAGTGCTATGTATAGATTTGATACTAAAGAATGTTAGAAATATATGTATAAAACAACCAAATAAAGAGAAAAAATAAAAAGATTTAATTTAAGTAAAATATATTAAAGATGTAAATCAAAATGTGATTTCCTTAAAAAAAGATATTCAACATAGGTGAGAGAGTTATTTTGTTAAACTTTTAAATAAAATTTTTGAAGATACGAACGATTTTAGTGATATTAATATCATTAATAATAACATTTTTTTTTTACTGCTGTATAAGTAAAAAAAGGAAGTTAAGGAGGCTTTAAAGAAAACTAAGGGTGGAAAATCAGTAGTTTGAAGGGTAGAAATATCTAGAAGATTTATGAGTTTCTTGGCTTACTAAACTCTTTAATATTATTTTAAAAATCGAAATGATGTCTGAGGATTGGAGGAAGAATATTTTGGTCTCCATTTTTAAGAATAAAGAGGATGCACAAGAGTATACAAATTATAGAGAAACTTACTTTAAAATTATGGGTTAGGGTAATTGAACTTAGGTTAAGACATGATACAAAGATTTCTCATAATCAAACTAGACTTATGTCGGGCAAGTGTACGATGGAAGCTAAACATTTATTGAGTTGTTTGATGGAGAATTATAGAGAGAATAATGAGGATCTATATATATTTTTATTGATTTAGAAAAATCTTATGAGAAGGTTACAGGAGAAACTCTTTGGAGAGTTCTAGAAAAGAAAGGTGTTGATATGACTTATATTCAAGTCATTAATTATATTCATGACTTATATTCAAGTCATTAAAGATATGTATACTACAGTTGTTACTTCTGTTCGAACAGAAGGAGAGTTGACGAAGTATTTTCCTAATTCAGCTGTCAGTGATCGACTTTAAGACCATATATTTTTGCTTTTGTTATGGATGCTCTTACTAGACATATACAGGAGTATATAACTTGGTGTATGCTTTTTGCTAATGATATGCTTCTTATTGATAAAACTAGAGAAGAAGTTCATGAAAATTAAACTTGAATTTTGGAGGTCAATATTGGAGTCTAAAGGCCTTCATTTGAGGAGATCTAAAATTGAATACATTGAACATAATTTTGGTAACAGTAGCTCTAGTGGCAGAGTTGTAAGTATGGGTGATCAAATCATTAAATTGTGTGAACTTTTTAGATATCTCATGTCTATTGTTCAAAGTGATTGTGCTATAGATGGGGATGCTATTAGTAGAATTCAGGTTGGGCGTTGGTTAAAGTGGAGGAAAGCATCATGCCATATGTGTGATTGAAAAGTACCACCTAGACTTGGTAGAATTCAGGTTGGGCGTTGGTTAAAGTGGAGGACAGCATCATGCCTTATGTGTGATTGAAAAGTACCACCGACTTGAGGAAAATTTTATAAGATAGTGGTGAGGCTTGAAATGAATCTATTCTTGAAAAGGTTGGTGTAGCTCTAGTTACATACAAGATAAGAGTGAATCGACTTAGATGGTTTGGTCACGTTAGATGTCGACCATCTGATGATCTGATTAGGAGGGTAGATATTTAAGATTCAAGGTAAGTTAAGAATGCAAGAGGTAGACCTCAAAATACATGGGCATATTTTATAAAAATGATCTTGATCTATTAGAATTTAAATGAAAATATGACGCTCAATAGGACACAATGAAGAAGAAGGATTCATACAACGGATAAAGGCTTGTTGTTATTGTTGTGTGGTTTTACCATGAATTTTGACTTTTGAGTAAAAATCTAAAAAATGGATGAAAGAGGATGGTTGATTTGTAAATAGCAAGTTTCAAGTGGTCTATATGTACTTGTCTCTCTTTTTTTTCACTTTAAAAAGTGAAATAAACTTTCTTTTTTTTTTATTTTGTATGTTTAGCTAAGATGGCATATACGTAAAAACTGAAGTAATTTAGGTGTTAGCTCAGCCGATAGCTGCCGTTCATCGAAGGAGCTACTGGCCAGCAATGAGAAATGTTACCTCAGCCGATAGATAGCTGGTGTAAACTATTCGACGGTTGTGATCGAGCTCAGCCGCTCCAGGGTCCAGCCATATTACTATTTAATTTATTAATGCACACATTTCTGATAAAATAATTTAAGCGTATTTGAAGCTTCAAACAATAGTTGGTGAAATTCTAGCTGGAACAAATATCCTGCAAGCAAGCAATTCATTCTTTGCAGAAACTCTGTGAGATACTTCTTATTCAGATTTGTGTTGACTTATCTTTTTATCCATCCGCTTCTTACTTTTAAAAATAAGTTGGTTTAAAATTTATTATTGAATGCAAGATGAGTAGATGAATGATTGTCATTTTCTTTAGATAAATACTTCATTTAATACTAAAAGTGTGAATTAATTATATATATATATATATATACATCAAAGGAATGGCCAAAGGCTATTATACGAGCCCCGATAATCTCTCATGCACCTAAAAATTCAAGTATCACACTTTACACTCGGGAGAATCGAACACTAGATTGAAGGGGACTTAGACAAGTAGATGCCTGAGAGACAGATTAGAGTAGGCGGTATATATATATATATATAAAAGATTAAACTTAATAATGATTTGTTGTTTCCTATACCAAATTTGTACCAAATTTGCTCAAGAATTTCTCGTCTGGTGCATTGATCAGAGCTGGTGAGCAAGTGAACAAAAGAGAGAGAGAGAACAACCAAACAATTAAATAAATGCATAAGAATTGAATGCTATGTATGTAAAATTTCCGTAAAAGAAAAAAAAAAAAAACACCTTTGCTTCCCGCACGTCGAGAGCACCACCAATTAAGAACCTGCGCGCACGAATAATAAGCCCCTCCCACATTCTCATCTGAGCCGGCGGCGACCGCTCGCTATATATCCCTTCTTCTCGCCAAACATCTCCAAGCCATTCTTTCAGAGATACATCGAAGCACCAAGCCAGTTCATTTATAATCAGCTCGCTCGCTCGCTCGCTCTCGCGCGCGCGCGAGCGCAACAATCAATTATATGGCTTCCATCATTACTCCTCTCCCGTTGCTTCTCATTCTCGCCTCCACCGCCGCCGCCGCCGTCTTCCAGCCGTCCCCATGGTTCCTCGCCCACGCCACTTTTTACGGCGACCAAACAGCTTCCGAAACCATGGGTAAAACCATCTTTTTCTCATTTTAATTTCCTAATTTTATAAAAAAAACTTGTATTTCAATTAATTTTTAAGAATATTACAACAGGTGGAGCGTGCGGGTACGGGAACCTGTTTGTGAACGGGTACGGGACGGACACGGCGGCGCTGAGCTCGACGCTGTTTAACAACGGGTATGCGTGCGGACAATGTTATCAGATTCGGTGCGTGAGCTCGCCGAATTGCTTCCGCGGGTCTCCGTTCACCACGGTGACGGCAACCAATCTTTGCCCGCCGAATTGGGGGGAGGATTCTAACAATGGCGGGTGGTGCAATCCACCGAGGGCGCATTTCGATATGTCCAAGCCGGCGTTCATGAAGATCGCCAATTGGAAGGCAGGCATTGTTCCGGTGATGTACCGCAGGTAATAAGAAATTGGAAGATTTGCATACGTTCCGACCGCTTAATTCTTATGTTTTTACTAGTCAAAAAAATAGTGATATTTTTTTTTTATAATATGAAAGATTTGGGTTGTATATATACATGTAAAATATAAAATTTTAATCGTTAGCCAAGTAAATACATAGGATTTGCATGTAAATGACAACTAAAAGATTTTGTAGTGGTAGCAATTACAGCGATTTAAATCCGCTGCAAATAGCATAACAAGGGCTTTTATTGTTGTAGATATCTGTATAATATGCTGCAAAACTCTTAAGTATATCTTGAAATAAATGAGACATTGAAAGTTCTTACATATTTATATATCTAATGTCTAAAGTCTTATCTCTACATATGCAATACTTCACCTATTTAAAATCACATACAAAAAAACTATCATAATTATCATTAACATATAGCATGAAAGTGTTGCAAGTGTAAATATCAACTCTTTGGTGTTAAATATATATAAAGCAATAAGAATCACGTGGCATGTATGTAAATTTCCAAAAAATTTACATAAAAAGTAAGATTACATATTTCACATATAAACTTGGCTATTTACATATGCAACTCTCAAAACATCAAAATAAAATAGAATAAAAAGAACACATCACAGGTCCTTCTGTCACTTATTTAACGAAGCATTAAATGATATAATTAATAATAAATATTAGATATTAAATATTTAAATTTTATTAATTTGACTACTATCACACTATGCATGTAAATAAAGCATTTAAAATTATTTATGTTATAAAAAATTGAACAGAGCACATTCAAACAGAAATTAACAATTCACCGTGTAAAAAGGCATACTAATAAATATGGATTTCAGGGTGCCATGCATGAAGAAAGGAGGGCTGAGATTTCAGTTTCAGGGGAACGGGTACTGGCTGCTGGTGTATGTTATGAACGTGGGAGGTGGGGGTGATATAAGCGGGATGTCAGTGAAGGGCAGCAAGACAGGGTGGATAGCCATGAGCCACAACTGGGGGGCTTCCTACCAAGCCTTCTCCCGCCTCGGGGGCCAATCCCTCTCCTTCAGACTCACTTCATATACCACTAAGCAGACCATCGTCGCCTACGACGTCGCTCCTTCTAACTGGAACGTCGGCCTCACTTACCAAGCTAATGTAAATTTCACATGATTCCAATTTGATTCTTTGGACATCTCCATTTTGTTCTTCTTTCTTTTTTGTTTCTTAGTTTCTCTGTCCCTATATGGGTTTTCTTGGGTGTGAATCTAAGGCTCTTGTATGCTTTAACTTTATATATAAATGTTTACTTTATTACTTTCTATGATTTTGTTTGCTATAGAGATTGATTTCTGAAGTCTTTAGGGATGTAGCAATCCCAGGATTCCCCTTTGAATTCCCTACAAAAAGTCTTATAAATGATTCCTCTTTAGAAGTCTCTTAGCCGGAAGAGAGCTCTACGTCATGGCTGCCACCTCTATTTATAAAATGTGTTCTTCCGAGATACATTGTATACAAAACTACACAAGTAATAAGATTAAAATTAACAGTGCAAAATATGATATAGCATAACAGCTTTCAGGTGAGTTTGACAAAGTTCTCACAACCTACAAGATATGACTGTTGAAATATAAACTTGTTTTAGTTGT